AATCAAACATCTCTTTAACCTACAGTGGAAACATAAACTCACAAAACGGCAGCCATGTTTGTAGTCCCAAAAACCTGTACCTGTTATCTACTTTGGCCGCCATGTTTGTAGTCCAAAACCTGAGTAAAAGTACTAACAGTAAACAATACTTTCTAAAGTATTTCTTATTTGTACACATAAGTTTATTTTAAGACGTAAGCTGTTAATCAGTTTGTTTACTTTGTTTATTAAATGTTCTGTAAATAATCCGGTGTAATCCCGGCTACAGATTATAAAACGCTGCTGGAGTTCACACCCTGTTCAGCTCGACAGAAACTCTGAGGCCTGAACACAAAACAACAAACTGGGTCCAAATAAAAACCTGAAAACAGCAAAGTGCTGCCCGGCAGGAAACAGCAGTTTTTCAAACACAAACTCTCAGGATAAAACACGAAGGTCGAGGGAAAAAAAACGACGGAAAACAGACGACGGTCCTGCGAACAGAACATGACGTACTCACCAGGTGAGTCCTGTTTTTATCCACCTGCAGCTGCTGGGGCCGAACACGGAGCTGGGTGAGGTGTAACAAACCGACCAGAGGGTTGTTTCAGCCCGGGAAACGATCCGTAAATGTCGTCCCGGGATCCATATAATATTTCCTTGTTCTCGCAGGTATGTGGGCGGGGCCTCGAGGTTTCAGGTGCGCTGTGTGGGCGGAGCTGCAGTTCTGACGCGGGAATGTGTTGAGGTGTGGTTGGTATCAGCATCTGAGTCAACGCTTGGGTTAAAACGGGACTTTGTGACTCAGGTGAGGGTCAAACAGAGACCAGGTGTGTGTGTGTGTGTGTGTGGTCGAAACTCTCAGGTACCTTTAAAGCCCTAATCATCATCATCATCATCATCATCATCATCTTCTAAATATAGAAAATATAAATTCAATAACTAATAATAACCGAAATATTCTATATTGAACTGGTTGGTATCTGCAGGGTTAAAACAACCCAAACACCCAGTGCTCAGGGGCACCACCATTGTGGGGGGTTAGGGG